GAAATATTCTCAAATTGGACCCACTACAAACAAGAATGTCAGCGTTTAAACCAAATCCAAGTAAAAAAGAAAGAAAGAAAGAAAGAAAGATCAGCTTAACAAACATTTTGCATCCAAGACCCAAGGATGGAAGTCCACCTTCACCTATCCAGCCTATAAATGACTTTTCTCTTTTACACTTTTTACAGCCAAAGTATTATTTTAAGGTAGCAAATCTACTGTGACATAAAAATCAACAACATAACCCATAAGTTAAGAGGAATATCAAAATACTTTATTGTAGGTAAATGACTCTGATCATTCTAGTTCAAACTAAAGCACTTTAGCTTGAGTTTGATGTCATTGTACCCCACATGGATTGGACAAAAGTGTAGTACATAAAAAAGGTGGTGCACTTCCTTCCTCACCTGTTATCCCATCATCATCACTACCTCCACCACCCAAACCCCATACTCCCATATCTGCACAGAGTCTGATTAAATGACTGGACCAGTGGCAACACCCCTCTACTTCCCATCCCCCACTTTTACAACTCAATCATGCTGCATTACAGTCGACACATAGACTGCTTATCCCGAGTGTCAAAATTGAAAGGGGAAAGAAGGACAGAGAAGGAAAAAGGCTGTTAAAAAAGAAAGCACAAGTAAGAGGAGATAGGGAAGCAAAAGAAAAGGGGGTGGCCCAAGAGCAATTTCTTTCTTGAATAAGAAAGAAAATGGGAGGGGGTTGTAAAAACACGCTAATGGCAAGGCTCCTGGTTTTTGTAAAAAAAAAAAAAAGATGGGGTTGGGGGTGAGACATAGGTTCTGGTTCCTATTCGTTGATTCTTTTATTTGTTCATTCCTTGGTCTTTCGTCAAGTCAAGTGCTCGCCCTGTCTGTCTTTTTCCATTGTGTCCACCAGTCTAGATAAGAGCTGCTAGTATGACTCCCTGCTAGTCATTTAGTTATTATAGAGGGGAGGAGAAAAAGAGAGTAAGAGAAGAGAAAAAAGGATGAAAAGACTAATTCTACTGACAGATAAATGGCTCATTTTGAATGGCCTTTAATTTTTTTCTCTTATTCTACTCTGTTCAAATATTTGCTGTTCTCCTCCTCTTCTCACCTGACTGCACTTTGACCCTCAAACACACACACATAAACACACACACACACTTCACAATGACACACAGCCTAATATGCATCTAGATTTGTCTCTTTGAGAGCTATTAAAATGAGATCTTCTCTTCACTAATCCATATTATTGGATGGTAAGGCTTTTCATGCCCTTTCAATAACTTCTGATATTTCCAAATAACCACATTTTCCAGAGTGTGACGCTCACTCTTTAAACACTGTATGTGAAGGAAAGGGTGGGCTTCTCCCACTGTTTGAATGATCAAAAGGCTCATCTGTGCTTATGTAGTTGCATTTATTTTAACCGATGCGTGTCTGTTGTACATACTGTATCTGCAAAACAGTGCTAAGGCTTTGAGTCATTTTGTCTTTATATTTTGTTTCCAGTGAGCTACAGTTTCTTGTATTTTTCATTAATATTACTCTGAACTTCTGAAGGTCTGTCAAAGTTCTTTTAGGGAGGAGTTTGGCTCTTTAAAAAAAATAAAATAAAATTCTACACAGTACATGGGCATTTTCTGAAAAATGTTATCTTTTATATTTTTTAAGCAGCTTAAATTAGATAATTTAGTGATATTGTGACTTTTAAACTCAAGGGATAAATCAGTGTTGCCTCAACACTCATATAATGGCTTGGCAAAGAACCAATAATAAATTGGCTCTTTAGGTACTTTGTTTCCAGCAGCCTGGTATTAAGACACAATTTGTTCCTAATTATTTTGTCAAATCTATGATAAATACATAAAATAACACAGTTTGACAATTAAAATAATTTTTTGAACCAAGTGATTCCCAAAGAGCTGAAAGCTTTACACCATAAATGATGAACTGAAGGTAGATCTTTCACTCAGGTCCTGTGTCAGGTCTTTGTTGGACGTTTTCCTGTTTTTGTGACTTTCAGAAAGTCTTTTTGCTATAGTTAGTTTTGTAGGACTGACACTTTTTGGTCCTTCATTTCTTTACTTTCCTGATTGTTTACAGCCACACTAGAGAATATGTTGTAATGTTCAAGTACAACGACTCGAAACAATATGACTGACAAAGCTGACAAAGTCTAAAGCAGGGTTATTCAACTGGTGGCCCGCTGGCCAGAAATGGCTGGCTGGCTAGCAGCTTAAGTAGGGAGGCCCAGACTTCCCTCTCCCCAGCCACTTGGGCCAGCTCCTCCAGGGGAATCCCGAGGTGTTCCCAGGCCAGCCGAGAAACATAGTCCCTCCAGCGTGTCCTGGGTCTTCCTTCATCCATCCATCCATCCATCCATTATCTTTACCCGCTTATTCCATTTTGGGTCACGAGGGTCGCCGGTGCCCATGTCCAGCAATCACTGTGTGAGGGGTGGGATACACCCTGGACAGGTCCTCCAGTCCATCACAGGGACACATAGAGACAAATGAGACAAACAACCATTCACTCTCTCACTCACACTTAGGGACAATTTAGAGTTACCAATCAGCCTAACATGCATGTTTTTGGTCTGTGGGAGGAAACTGGAGTATCCGAGGAAAACCCACGCATGCACGGAGAGAACATGCAAACTCCACCCAGAAAGGCCCCTGGACCGGGATTTGAAGCGGCAACCATCTCATTGAGAGGCAGTAGCTCTACCAGTTGCACCACCATGCTGCCCACCCACTTCTTAAAAAAAAAAAAAATATATATATATATATATATGTGTGTGTGTGTGTGTGTGTGTATGGAGTGGTGGCGCAGAGGTTAGAGAAGGTGGGTCTGTGTCAGTTCAAGCCCCAGTACTAACAACATTAAAAATGTGGGTGGGGTAGGTGAAGCACCCACACCTGCCCCCACACCCTAATTTGTCCCACTCTGGGCCCTTGAGCAAGGCCCTTAACCCCAACCATCTGCTCCTCCGGATGTCCTAGAAAGCAGCTCTCTGCTCCACACAGAGAGCTGTGGTAGCTCGGTGGTCCGTGGTTGTGTCAGGAAGGGCATCCGGCGTAAAAATAACTGCCAAGTCTTCGTGCGACTTAGTTCGCTGTGGCGACCCCTGAAGAAGGGAGCAGCCAAAAGAAGAAAAAAAA